GAACACAAAATCCCAATTGGCTGATTTATTTACAAAAGCACTTGACTATGATACTTTTGTTTCCTTGAGGAAGTCCGTTGGACTACTTCAACTTGAATAGTTTTTCATTTCAGTTGATGAATAAAGCATGAACATGCTACTTCTATTTTTGTTTGTCAAGACTCCTTGATCTATGTTAGCTTTCTAATTGTCATTTATTTTCTCATATTTGTGTGCTAACTCTGGTATGTTATGTCCACTGAGACTTTCTCTATAACATGACCTTATTGCATCATGAGTTGATTGTCCATTCTTGTCACCATTATGAAAGAGCTACCTTACATGAAGTGTGAAAGTTGTTTTGAGTAATTTTCTGATTTATAGAGACCCATATATTTTGGAAAATCTACCATTAAAAGGACTACCTTAATATCTGTCTAGGAAACAATAGAACTCATGGCCAACTAACCTCTCTAACATTTGATCAATGAATGGCAATGAAAAATGGTCCTCACGAGTCGCGGAATTCAGTTTGCGATAATTGATACATACTCTCCATCCCGTGATTGTTCGTGTTGGAATCAACTCGTTGTTATCGTTACGGAACACTGTCATTCCTTCCTTCTTTGGCACCACTTAGACTGGACTTACCCATGCACTATCCAAAATTAGATATATAATTCCTGCATCTAAGAGCTTCAATACCTCCTTCTTGACCACTTCTTGCATTTATGGATTCAATCTTCTTTGCGGTTGGATGGTAGGCTTATAGCTCTCCTTCATTAGGATTTTGTGTGCAAATTGAAGGACTGATACCTTCTATATCTGTGATTGTCCATCCAATAGCCTTCTTGTATTTCCTTAACATGCGTAGCAACTTTTCTTCCTCTACAACATTCAAAGAAGCATTAATAATGACTGGAAAAAATTTACCATCTTCTAAAAATGCAGTCCTTAAATGAGATGGTAGTTGCTTGAGCTCAAGTGTAGGTGGCTTCGTGATTGGTGAAGTGGACTGAGACACCACGGCTCCAATTTCTCTGATCGATTTAGCTTCAGGATGAACCAAGGGTGGTAGAGCATTTAAGTACCTTAAACACTCTCTTATCTCTTCACTATCAACTTCATCCTCATAATCTCTAGAATTCAGCAAACAATTCTCTAAGGGGGAAATGGGGTAGCTTTCTTCAAAATTCTGCTCCACTATGGTGTCGAGAACGTTAATCTTAAAACATGTGTCTAATTCAGATGGACGTTTCATAGATTCAAAAACATCAAATTCTACTTGCTCATCTTCTACCCTTAAGATTAATTTCTCTTGGTAAACATCTATCAATGTTCTACCCATGGCTAGAAAAGGTCATCCTAAAATTAAAGGTATTTCCCTATCTTCCTCCATGTCTAACACTATGAAATCTACTGGAAAAATTAGTTTGTCTACCTTAATCAAGACGTCTTCTACCACCCCCCTAAGATATGTTATTGATCGATCAGCTAATTGGAAAGACACGGTGGTTGGCTTCACTTCTTCTAATCCAAGTTTCTTGTAAATGGAAAATGGCATTAAATTTATACTTGCCCCTAAATCACATAAAACTTTATTAAAATAACAACTACCAATAATACAAGGGATAGTAAAACTCGTAGTTTAGGTGGAAATTTCTTTTGAATCAGCGAGCAGTATTCCTCCGTTAACATAACTTTCTCGTGTTCCTCGAATTTTCTCTTGTGTGTGAGGGTTTCCTTTAGAAACTTTGTATATTTCGACATCTATTCTAACATATCAACAAAAGGAATATTAATATGCAAACTTCGAAACATATCAATAAACTTACCGAATTGCTTATCAAGCTTCTGATTCTTCAAAGGTTGTGGGTATGGAAGGTTTGCATGGCTCAAAGAAAGTTTCTACTTAGATTCACGCTCGCTGCGGCCATCAGATTCATCGCCGCGGTGATGAATTGGAAATTCTGACAATTTGGGAGTAGACTCAAGCTTGCTGCAGCCACCAGTATCATCACCGCAGCGATCGTCCTTCATGCTGACGAGCTTCTCCAAATTCTCACAATCGTTGCGGCGATCGTTCTTCTGCTCTTCCTTCAAATCTTTCTCTTGTTCTTGCTTCTATTTTTCACCCTCTGAATTCTCCAAAATTTGTCCACTCTGCAAAGTGATTGCATGCACTTGTTTCTTGGGATTCTTCTCTGTATTGCTCGGCAAAACTCCTTGAACTCTTCCCGCTAATATGTTATGAATTTGCCCAATTTGAGTCTCAAGGTTCCTAATAGAAGCTGATTGATTTTGGGCAAGGATGTCAGTCTTCTCAAACCTCATGCTTGTCTCTTCAATGAACTTGGTAAGTACATTCTCTAAGTTAGATTTTGGCTCTTGAGTTTGAAAAACAAGAGGTTGTTTATGCTCGTTGTTGTTGCTTCATGAGAAGTTCGGGTCTTTCCTTCATGCTGGATTGTATGTGTTGGAATATGGATTCCCTTGCCCTTATTTGGAAATTATTGACGTAATTAGCTTGTTCAGGCTGAGCAAACAGGTTCCTTTCTTGACAATCCTTGAATGAATGATTTCCTGCACAGAGTTCACATGTTAGAGAAGTGGATTCAACTGCATTTATTTTTAACACATTACCTAATTGCTTTTGGATGTTTGAAAGTTGAGCAGCCAATACGGTGTAACTATCAACTTCGTGTACTCCTGCTGATTTCCTTGTTGAAGTTCTCTCCAAAGTCCTCATATAGTTATTGTTTGCCATCACCTCAATCAGTCTTCTAGTCTTCAACGTGAACTCTTCAATCATCACCATCTCCATTGCTGATCTGCCGGATAAGTCATTTCAGCTCAGATTTCAACTTCAGCCTTCACATCTGCTGCCGTCTGCCGCCGTCTGCCACCATCTACGAGCTGCCATTTGCCGTGACCAAGTAACAATCTACAGATTTCTATCTTTTTTGTCTTCTATGCTTTATGTACAGATTTATGAACGCTTATAGATTCTATCAAGTTTACTACTTAAAAGAAGTCATATGATTAAAAGCAACCCTTAAATTGTCAAAACGAAATTTAGATTTTGTATTGGTTCATTCTATTAGGATCTTGTATATATGTTTATTTGCTTCAAAGGGATACTTCATGATCAAAGTTAGGGACGATTAATAAAGTAGAAATTAAGTTGTAATGTAAAATAACATTAGCCGAAAGATGTGTATAGGGTATGAGAAAGTGGTACTGTAAGTCAATAGAATGTCATTCATGTGTCTTGAAAATAATAAAATTTTATTTTATGTATATAGAGTCAATGTTCTTTACAAGTGATGCCCTGTCTAGGGCAAATTTTTTGAATGTTCCACAGCTACATGGACTTAAAGAATGAAGAGATAAAAAATAAAAAATGAGAATCCTAGTTAACCAAATGCCTCAAGAAATTAAAATAAAACTGAAATATCAACTGGCTCTTTCTAAAATGGGAAAAACAGTGAAGGAAACAAATAATTAGGCTTTACTAATTAATGCCAGAGATTTGAAATAAGGTTTAGCATATTCTATATCCTATATGAATCTAAGGTGATAAAGTAGTTAGGTTCATATAGGATAACAAATTGATTGTTGGTTGCCACTTGTCAGGGGAGAGAATGTCATCATCTTCGTCTGCACATAACTCATCAGCCGCATCCATTTCCTCGCAATCTTTTCGAGGAAAGACCGATGTAGCATGGGGACATGTTCTTGAGAGTGTTGATAAAGATGGAAAGAAAATATTATCTTGTCTTCATTGTGGCAAGGTTACTAGAGGTGGTGGTATTTTTAGAATGAAGCAACACCTAGCAGGAGTAAAAGGGGATATTAGAAAGTGTCCAAAGGTTCCATTTGATGTTAGATTCAATATGAATGAATCATTGAAAGAAATAGGATTAAAAAATAAGGAAAAAGAAGATTTCCGGAAGCATGCAACTCCTTTTGATGTTGTAGTACATGAATTTGAGTGTGATCAGTTAGATGAAGAAAATGAAGAGGTTTTACCATCACAAATGACCATGAATGAAGGTGGTAGTAGTGGCGGTAAAAAACAATTTACGAGCAGTAAGAGAAAGAAAACTACAGGGGTTAGTAATTATTTTGCTCCACGAACTACTTCTGGGTCTCAGCCTTCAATTAGGAGTGTTTTGGCTGGAAAAGATGCAAAGTGGAGAGCAGACATGTCTGTTGCACGATTCTTTTATGATGCTTGCATCCCGATGAATGCTTTAAATTCAATTTATTTTCAGCCTATGTTAGATGCTGTAGCTGCAATTGGCCCTGGGTATAAACAACCTACTTATGATGCTATGCGTGTGAATTTGTTGAGAGATGCTAAGAAGGAAGTCCAATTAATTGTTGACAATTATAAGAGGATTTGGCAAGAGGTTGGATGTACATTAATGGCTGATGGTTGGACTGATACTTGCCATAGATCATTGATCAATTTTCTTGTGTACTGTCCTAAAGGTGTTTGCTTTATAAAATCAGTGGATGCTTCAGATGTTGTAAAGGATGCCTTTACATTATTCAAGTTGTTTGAGGAAATGGCTTTATGGGTTGGACCAAACAACATTATCCATGTTGTCACGGATAATGGAGCAAATTATAAAGCTGCTGGAAGAATGTTGTCTGAGAAGTATCAGAATATTACTTGGTCACCCTGTGCAGCCCATTGCTTAAATTTAATTTTGAAAGATATATCTGAGTTGGACCACATAGTGCATCTTGCAAAACGTGCTTCTGAAGTAACCAAGTTTGTGTATAATCACACAATTTTGATAGCTTGGTTGAGGAAAAGAGAGGTAATAGCTTATAAACCTTTAACTCATGTTTTTGTCAAGTTATTAATAAACATTTTGTATTAATTTACTAACATCTATTATGTATTGTATGTATCATTTGAACAGGGTTGGAGAGAAATCATACGACCGGGTGCAACTCGGTTTGCTACTACTTTCATTGCATTAAGAAGTCTACATCAGCATAAACATGACTTGCAAGCTATGGTGACTGATAGGTTTTTTGTGGACTCTCGATATGCCAGAAGTAGTAAAGGCAAGAATGTTGTTCCCATAATTCTAGATAATGAATTTTGGGATAACATGGGTTACGTTTCCAAAATTGTGGCTCCTTTGATGCGTTTGTTGCGAATTGTGGACTCAGATGAGAGACCTGCAATAGGATACGTGTATGATGGCATGTACAGAGCCAAAAAAGCGATCAAGAAGTTCTTTAAAAAGAGAAAGACATTGTACAAGCCTTATACCGAAATTATTAAGCAGCGGTGGGATTTGCTTTTGCGTCGCGACATTCATGCTGCTGCTTATTATTTGAATCCGGCTTTTCAGTATGACCGTGCAAGTTTCTGCAGGAAACCAGAGGTTATGCGTGGTTTCCTTGATGTTGTCGATAATAAAGCAAGTGCATTCAAGTTGAACAAGACAAGAGTAGTGGACGAAAGTAGAATATATCGAGATCGCGAGGAAAGCTTTTCTCGTGAGCTTGCCTTTCAAACTTGCAGAACCACACGACCTGGTACGTAATACTTATTAAATTTCTCAATTTTAAGTCCAATTTCTAAGTTATGAATTTGTTTATTTGATTATTTCATATGGTTAACACTGAACACTCTTAACTTTTAATTAGATGAATGGTGGAGGACATATGGGTATAGTACTCCACAGTTACAAGAGTTTGCAATTAAGATTCTGAGCCAAACTTCAACCTCTTCGGGATGTGAGCGAAATTGGAGTGTTTTCGAACGTATCCATACAAAAAGAAGGAATAGATTGGAGCATCAACGGTTGAATGATTTGGTTTTTATCCATTATAACTTGCGTTTGAAAAATAGGTATAAAGCATTGGCAATTTTAATATTTTTATTATCTCATATTTTTAGTGATATTTTTATTTGGCATGTCTTTCAGGATGTGTTACAAGAAAAGCAGTTGTGATCCTATCGATTATGAAAGCATTGATAGAACAGAATTTTGGATTGCTGATGATGAACAGGAGGGTGATGACTTCAATTTAGATGAATTGGAGCAAGCACTTTACGAAGAAGGATCTATTCCTGTCGGTGTTGATGGCCAACCCTATTATGATTCAGCAGGTGGTTCACAAGGTTGTTTTCTAACTTTTAACCAACTTGGTAACTATTATAATTTATATTTTATAATATCAAAAAATAATGTACATTATAAATTTTAACTTATGTTTTTAATTTTTGCTAAATTTGTAGTTGATGGTGATGATAATGATGATGACTCGGATGATGATGTGGATAATCAATTTAGGATGGGTTGACCCGTTGAAGAATCTGTTTGGTTTCTCCTTTTTCCCTTCACTTACCGTGAGCTTCTATTGAATTTTTTTGTGGTTGGGTTGGTGGAATGGATTGATATTATGTAATTTTATATGTTGGTTGGTGGATTGGTAGGTATTTTGATATTTTGTAATTTTGATGGTTGGCCGTTGGTGGATTCATATTTGATAATTGATGATATTACTTTGTAATGACTTTAAGTCTTTAATGTTGTTTGAAACTTTAGAGTTTAGACTTTAGACTTGAGGATTGAATTTGTAAACTTTAACTATCAAACTTTGATGGTTTTATTATTGTTGTAGCCTAGGGTTGGTTTGATGGTTTTTAAAGTTTAAACTTTAATTAGATGGAGAAATTATTGTTGTAGAGTTGGTTTGATGGTTTTTAAAATTTTAACTTTAATTAGATGAAGAAATTATTGTTGTAGGGTTGTTTTTTATGGTTTTTAAACTTTAATTAGATGGAAAATTTGAATTTTTTGGCTTTTTTTACGTTTTTTCTTATTTCAGCATGTTGATATCAGCATGACATTATGCTGATGTCAGCATGCTAACGTCACCGGTCCGACCGACCGGTCGGACCGGTCAAACTGTTCGAACCGGGAACCGGCCGTTTAGCCAGGTCGGCTCCCGATCCGGTTTTCAGAACATTGTCTTCACCTTCTCCAATCAAGCTTCGGTGACCCTTCATCTCCTTTTCCGGCGACATTTCGGCTTCCCCTTGCTCCGGTCACCATCATCCCTTCATCACCACCGTGAATCACGCACGCCACCATGAGCTTCATCTTCCCACCACGACGTTTCATCTTCCTGGCTAGATTTGGCCATTTTTCGACGACGTTTCAACTCCCCAAGAGTCGATCTCCCTTCCCCACGGTCGGATCTACACTTCCCTAAATTCAACCGCCACAAAAACCGCCAGAATCCTCGATTTTGCCGTCGCGCCTCTTCATCTTCCAGCCTAGATCCTGCTCATTTTCGGTGACTACTCACCTCCCTAGGACCTGATCTGAACTCCCTATCACCAAAGCTTTTCCATCGGTACCTTTGGATCCCATTTCCGCCACCGTTTTTCGGAAGACCCACCGGAAAATTAACGTTTTCCAACAAAGTGCGGCTGTTCGTATTCTGGGCTATCCGTTGGTCGTTTTTGCCCTTTCTTCACATCATATCGCTGTCGATTACCTCCTCTCTGCCATGGTCAACTTCGTTTCCACTGTTTCGGCCTCCGTCATCACCAGCATGAGCGGCTAAGTTCCCGATTTTCTGTTACGGCATAGGCGAGATCAGGATTTACTCCACGACTCTCCTCATCAGCTCTCAACTAGTTGGATGAGCCCGATTATAGGACATTTGGTAGTATTGTGCTTTGGATTATATTCGTTTTCATTTCATGTTTGATTTCGATACTTTAATATGATTTGAGCATAACTTGTGATGAATTTTGTTGTCCATTATGATTTAATGTTTTCATAGAACTTGCTGAATGATAAACGTTGGTTTGAAATAATTAAATGATGAATATTGCTTTTCATTACTTCGCATCGATTATAATTGAGTTGTGTTCGGATTTAATTTAATTTCTACTATTGTTGCGTTTATTGTGAAGTTGGTTGATTGGATATTACGTGTTGACAAATGGTATTTGTTACTCGCGTACCAACTAGTGGTTTTGCCTTGTAGCGTTTATCGACGTTCAATGATAGTCTTTAACCAATCGAAATTGAGTGATCAGGTGAGACAGGATAGATTATACCTAGAGTGTCAGGAAGCCATTTCATTGATTTATCTTGCCTTATAGGCTTAGGGGATCGTAGAGGGTGGAGAAGAATTGTGTGAGTCAGTCTCGTGTCAAACCAAAACCGTAACGGCAACATTTTTATTATAAAGTTTTTATTTGTTTTAATTTCACTATTTCATTATTTGCATTTAGTCGATTAGTTTCATTAATCAATTGCCAATTTTATTTTCGCTACTTAAAATACATTAGGTTGTTAGTCTTGCTCCCTGTGGATTCGACCCTGCTTACCGCTAACTACGGTATTTAGGTTTAATTTTGTCACTGTGACGACTGGTCTAACACATACAATGACTCCAAATCTTGTTGGTAAAAGTTGGTAATCTCACTCCTCAACTTGGCAGACTAGACAGGTGGAAAATATTTAGTGAGGAATGTTTGAGCTAACTCACTTCATGTCGTGATACTTCCAGGTGACAGAGAAATCAACTAAGTCTTAGCTTTATCCCGAAGAGAAAATGGGAAAAGCCTCAGCCTAATTGTGTCATTAGATACTCCATTATGCCTGAATATGTCGCATAACTCCAGAAAGTTGGCGATATGCAAGTTGGGGTCATCATTAGGTAACCCAGCGAATTGGACCGACTGCTGAATCATTTAAATAATTGCTGGCTTGATCTCAAAATTATTCGCTTGAATTGGTGGTTTCCTGATGCTAGAATAGCACCCATCAACGGTAGGATTAGAGTAGTCCTTCAATGCTCTTTGAACCACTGCTGCTCCACCCATTGCATTTCCTCCTAAGGTATCCTCATTCTCATTCTCTTGATTTTCGACATTGAGATTCACAATTCCTGTGTTAGCCATTGATTTTTCAAAGTTAGCTTGCCTCTTTTCTTTCCTCAATTGTTTAGCTGTTCTCTTGATCTCAAAATATAGTGGATTAAGATCACCACCACCTCTTGAACGTAAATTCTCCAGATTCTAGCTAAAAGCAACAAATAAAACAAAAACAAAAATTATTTTCTAAGCAAAAATAAAACACATCAAAGTAGCAACTAAAAATTTCGTATTGATATTGGTAAAACAAAATAGTTCCCCGGCAACAACGCCAAAAACTTGACAGGCTATTCGCAAGTGTACGAAATCGCGCAAGTAATAAAGCTCGAGTAAACAAGTGTCGAATTCCAAGAGAACTACCTACCAAGTACCAAACTAGTCTATTTTATTGCTATTTGATAAAACATAATTTTAAGAATGAATTTAATGAAAAAGAAAACAAACCAAAAACTAAACAAAAGCATAATTTTATTAATACTTTGGTAAACAGATCAATATGACTAAACCTAGGGCACAGATTCCACTCCAATTTAATCCTATGCATTGACAATTATTGCTAATCTAATTAACCTTATTCTAAAGGCCAAATTCTCTGATATTCCACTAACTTTCTCTCAAACAATTAGCGAATTAACCCTTAAGCAACAATCCAAAATATCTCTAAGTTGGATTTAGGAGTTAAATGATCATACGTTCTATAGAATTTACCAGAGCTTCATAGATCGCGGTAACCCATCTCTAGTGTTTGCTCAATCTATGGTTTTATTACCTAAGACAAATCAGGTTTCATCTCTTGATCTCAACCCAACCCATTATATCATTCAACCCTCGGATCCTTAAGAATTGAAAGCATTATACATAATAATAAAACTTAGAATTAATGCTCAATAAGAATTAACAACAATAAAGTCAACACATATTCATAAATTGGGCTACATCTTTAGCCCTAGAAAAGAGATTTAGTTCATAATTTTAGTAATAAAAACAACCATTGTATCCAATAACATGAGTTCAAGAAAGAAAAATATAAAAACTTCTCTAATTGGCGAATGAGAACTACAAGAATTTCGATCTCCAAAATAGTAGCCGTCCTTTCTCCTTCTCTAATCTCCCTTAAAACTACTTAAAGACCCTTATTTATAGTACTAGGGTTTGGAGGTTACTTAGGAAAAAGTTAAATTCCTTAACCCATTCAGATTCGGACTAGGAGAATGTAATAACCCAAACAGGCCCGTGACGCATCGTTGTGTTGATAAGAAATGATCGCTACAGTGATTGTCCTTTCTGTCCTGTGAGTCTGTGATCTTCAGAATTTGGTAAAGTCATAAACATGAACTTTATATTTCTCTGAATAAGCTTTCCAACGCCATAAAAATTTTCAAATTTTGATTTCTAGAGCTCAAGTTATGACAGAAACATCACAGCACGCTCATCTTGAAGGATTTTCAGATTTTATATTGTATCTTCGACGTGTCACAACTTTCTCGTTTCAACTCCGATTCTTGCACCGTTTGTTCCTACACGTCATGAATTCCATCGACATCATTCTTTTTCCTTCAAATATCGGTTTGAACCTGAAAATACTCAAAGTACACCCGTGATCCCGTAAAAGGTATTTATGAAAGAATAAATTCAAATTCCACAAATTTAAACACATTTTTCCACAAATAATCCAATTAAATCACTAACAAAATATATACTTTCAAGCTCTTATCATGGAGTAATAAATACCAATCCAACGTGTCAAGATAGAGCAATTTGATTAGCTTGTCAATCCAATCTGCCAAAATGGAGTAATTCTAGAGTTTCTAAAATGTGCCACATGGCGATCAACCCATATATATATATATATATATATATATATCAATCCAAATATATATATATCAATCCAACGTGTCAAGATAGAGCAATTTGATTAGCTTGTCAATCCAATCTGCCAAAATGGAGTAATTCTAGAGTTTCTAAAATGTGCCACATGGCGATCAACCCATATATATATATATATATATATATATATCAATCCAAATATATATATATCAATCCAACGTGTCAAGATAGAGCAATTTGATTAGCTTGTCAATCCAATATGCCAAAATGGAGTAATTCTAGAGTTTCTAAAATGTGCCACATGGCGATCAACCCATATATATATATAATTCTTGATAGTTTATGAACTGTCAAAAATCAGATATAATCCTAAACCGTAGAAATAATCTTAGACCGTTTTGGATGATTCTTGACAGTTATTAACTATCAAGGATTTGGTCAAACAGAAATTACACATTTTTTTTTTTTTTTTTTTTTTGACAATTGTAGTTTCAATCCTTGACATTAAGTTAAAAAACAACAATTATGAAATTTCACTGAGGCAAAAGTTTCCCAACCATTAAAAGTTTCACTAAGGAATAATTTCTCACCCATTTTGGCAAAGGTTTAGGGTTATAAAATATTAAAATATACAACAAAATAAAAAACCAATATCTTCCTCGAAAAAACCCATATCTCCCGCCCAAACACCTACAAAATTTCCTGGGCATTTTAGTAAAAGGCCAAATCAAGTTCAAATTTAATTAAAAGGCCATGTAGTTTGAAAGTGTTAAGTAAATAGCGGATTAATGAAGTATTGTGTAATCTTTTTAAAATTATAATATATCCCTAAAGAGCCGAAATTCTTACAAACAATCCCAAACACCTTCTTCTTCTTCCTCCCGCCATTAACGCATCTCTCGCCTGGTT